CTTTTTTTTTTTTTTTTTTGGGCCGTTTCCCTGCCCCACCCCATTCTCTGGCTGATTTGGCATGTTGATCGCATGGTTTTACTTGCATTTCATACTATCATTGATCAATTTCTGGTTCTTCAGATTTATTCCCTGTAGAGACATTAAACATTAATGATTCAGAGACTTCTTATGCACTAAAAAACACACTAAAATAATCTGTCCTTACAGTGAAATAGTTTGGTTTCTGTCATTTGTATAACCTTTGCATAGGCATGAAGCTATAACTTGTCTCATTCTTTGCTGTGTGACTGCAAAGCTACAATGTCTTTAATACCTGGTGAAAACAGATTTTTAACAGTAAAATCTGTTGGTTTTACAATTAATTTCAAGTTCTTTGAACAACTTCATTCTTGTTGTTGCATTAACAATTCAATATTATTTTATAAGTAATGACCATTTAAAATAAACATGGGCTGAAATGACTAGACTTGAACTGACAGTATCTTCCATGCCATAATTTTTCATTTTAAAAGCCAGTGTACTGTGGAAAAATGAACCACTGCCTCCTGGATCATTTCTCCTGTCTCAACACCTGAAAAGTAATGAGATTTTGGTGCAATGTAAGTGCAATGAGATGGGAAGTTTGACTAAATGCTAAATGAGTCCATCATGGCCCATTTGTAAAATCAACCCAATTGATTTTAAAGGGAAAAAAACCTATACCAGCCTTTCTATTGCCCAGCACTGTCCTCATGAAAAAGGTCACTGCTATTCGTGAACCGACGTGAATTGAGAGTCTTAATGATGAAATGATTGCATTACTGTGGGTGTGTTTTGGTTTAGACAGGGTGAGGCTTGAGAACTCAAACTCGAAATTCAGTTCAGTAAAAACAGATTTACTGTAGTGATTGATTTACTCTTGTGATTCATTGTAAGGTTGAATTGAGATTATCCTGAAAACAACAGCTTTCAAAACAATCATCTGTTCATTTTTATCTGAAAATTTCTCCTGAGGAGCATGATTGAGGTGGGATGAAATCTGTGTGCGTTTGATGCATTTCACATTGCATCAACTACAATTTCATAAGTCTTAGCCAGACATAGATGTAACCACGTAGCCACAGTCAATGGGAAGTTCTCATGAAGTCTTTCTCTGAGAAAATCTCTGAGAAAACCCTCATATATTGCTTATATCTCATGCTCAAACCTGTTAAATACTGTGTAGAAAAATTCAGTTAGAGAATGATGTCTTAATTCATGCTTGATTTTTTAAAATTTCCAGATCCCAAGGATCCCATTGCCATCGAGAGGCTTAACCTGATGAACATGGCCAAGCTGAGCATCAAGGGCTTGATTGAGTCTGCACTGAACCTGGGTCGCACACTGGACTCAGACTATGCCCCACTGCAGCAGTTTTTTGTCGTCATGGAGCACTGTCTGAAACACGGACTTAAAAGTAAGCGCAACAAATCCCAGCCCAAATTCTGCTGTACTTAGAGTATTCGCTGGTCCTCATTTGTATCCTTTACGCAAAAATCATCTGCTCATTAATTTTGATAATTACTGATTGCACAGTATTTTGGTATGTAGTGTTTATTCAGTCTGTTTTCATTTTTTTTTCTAAACATTTATTATTATTTTTTTTTAGGTAAGAAGACGTTCCTTGGCCAGAATAAGTCTTTTTGGGGTCCTCTGGAGCTTGTAGAAAAGTTGACTCCAGAAGCTGGTGAGATCACAGCCAGCGTCAAAGACCTTCCTGGGCTCAAGTAAGACGATGTTTTCAACTTGTACATGTTGTTGTTGGTTTTTTTTAATGCATGTTTCTGATTCTAAAGTTGTTCTTTTATCCCAGAACCCCATTAGGAAGAGGCAGAGCATGGCTTCGTCTGGCCTTAATGCAAAAGAAGCTCTCAGACTACATGAAGACCATCATCAACCAAAAAGACCTATTAAGGTACAATTACAGCTTTTGGTCTCTAGTATAAAAGCCGTAATTGTGATTTTGCAACCCAGTTTTGTAAATGTCTTATATTTGATGTTGTGTTCCTCAGTGAATTCTATGAGCCCAATGCTCTTATGATGGAGGAGGAAGGAGCTGTGATCGCTGGGCTGTTGGTGGGCCTGAATGTCATTGATGCTAACTTGTGTATGAAAGGGGAAGATTTAGACTCACAGGTATCTCTGTTAGTTACTGTTCATGAGTAATGAAGGGACAGCAAATATTGGAACAAAGCGTTATCTTTGTTACATTTTCTTTGTCCTTTCAAGGTTTTTCTCCAAAGTGCTGGCCAAAAGGCGATACAGGGTAATAAGATCTCCTCTACTCTCTTAATAGGTTGGAGTCATAGATTTTTCCATGTATCTGAAAGATGGCGCGCACAGCAGCAAAAGCACTGAAGGGTGAGTCCATATTCAACTCCCTCAATGGAAGCTAATTGTTGTAGTCTGACAGTTATTGGACTCAAAGCTGCTCTTTGCTTGCAGTGATGGACAGATTACAGCTATTCTTGACCAGAAGAATTACGTTGAGGAACTGAACAGACATTTAAGGTGCAGTCCCTTTACCCAACATCAGACTTGTGGGGTGTGTTTGTGACTAGCTGCTCATTTGGAAAGCATGAGCAATCTCACATTGTCACTCTAAATTCCCCTTTCCCAGTGCGTCAGTGAATAACTTGCAAGCCAAAGTGGATGCACTGGAAAAATCCAACACAAAACTTACAGAGGAGGTGGGTAGTAATTATAATTTAATGGATTACTGAAGATGTGGAAATACAAGTAATAAACAAGAGACAAATGATTTACATAACTGATAGATAATTTACATGTTAGCAGAATTGAATTCACATGATATATTTATGCACACAGCTGTGTATACACTACTGTTCAGAAGTTTTAGGTCAGTAAGATTTTTTAAATGTTTTTCAAAGAATTGTCTTATGCTCACCAAGGCTGCATTTATTAGATCGAAAATATAATACCATGAAATATTATTACAATTGAAAATAGCTATTTTATATTTGAATATATTTTAAAATTAGATTTATTCCTGTGATGGCAAAGCTGAATTTTCAGCAGCAAATAAAAACCTTTTGTAACACTTCTTGTTTGTAACAGTTTTGTAACTTTACTGTCTGTCTTTACTATTACAGTTTAATGCATCTTTGTGATTAAATTTTTTTTCCCCCAAAAAAATAAGTAAAAAAGTGCTGACCCCAGAATTTTTTATGTGGTTTATTGACACAGCTTGTGGAACTTAGTAAAGTAATGAGATAACTAGTTGTGAATAGATGCTAGTAATGATTTCTTGTTCCAACTGCTTGTGCATGTGTTCTTGATATTTAGCTTGCTGTGGCAAACAACAGGATCATCTCTCTGCAGGAGGAGCTGGAAAGGGTGAAGGAGGAAAGCTCTTACGTAGTGGAGTCTAGTCGCAAGGTGAAAAACATTTTTGATCCCACAGTGCTGATTGTTAACAATCATTCAATAGAACAACATTTGTTGCTCATTATTCAAAAGTAAGCCTCAAGCTCATAGTAGTTCTTTGCTCTCATATTTGACCTGTGTTTCTCTTGAAGGCATCAAGGGCAGATGGTACCGCAAACGGTCAAGTGCTTGGAGAAACTCGCAAACAGCTCAAAGAGGAAACTCAGCTCAGACTGGCGAGTATACCATTAATGCGTATATCGTTCTCTTTATCTTCAAATTCATCTCTGATATGGGGTCTTCAAAGAATCGAGTCAGTGTTCTTTCGATTAGAAGTCTGAAGAACCTGAATTTTTGAGAAACGGTGTGTTTGTGTGTTTGTGTAGGATGTGGAGAAGGAGTTGGAGGTGCAGATAGGGATGAAGCAAGAGATGGAGCTGTCCATGAAGATGCTAGAGAAGGACATCTGTGAAAAACATGATGCTTTGGTGGAGCTCAGACAGCAGTTAAATGAAATGCGTACACTCAACCATGAGCTCTCCATTAAGTCACATGTAAGCTTATGCAACTTATTCAGTTATATTTTTGAATAACTAAACCTGGCTCTCGCCATAAACATAGCCACAGAGGCTGACATGGCGTTAAAAAAGGAAGAAAACAGTCACCGTTATGAAAGAGTGAGACACATTTCCATAAAAAAAAACATGCGTCTCACAATTCACAAATTTCACACACTGAAGCTGCTTGTAAGCAGCATATATTTATTTTCCCTCCCCATTTTAAAAGGTTACACTATGGTGGAGTGACAACGAAGTGATCTGATTTGACAGTGCCAAAATAAAGAAGCAAGTAGAGTAGACTTGTGGTGCCGAGTCACCATAGCATGTTTAAATTTCAGGAATTTCTATTCATCTGTCTGAATCCTGCTGTTGCTTCACTGGGCTTGTATGTGTAGAACTGTTGATAAGATTAAGAACATTACAACTACAGAAGTACCAATTATCTAATGTAGCAATTTATTTTTGATGCTGTGTGTTTGTGATTGTTGTCTGTGTTTGTCTGGCTTGTAGAGCTCAGAGGCCGGTGCAAAACAGAAAAGTGACATCATCAGCCGCTTGGAGGAGAAAACAAACCAGATGGGGAGCATTATTAAACAGCTGGAGAGCAGGTAAAGGAGTCTAACTACATAAACACAGCATTTACACATGACATGTACACTGCAAAACAAAGAATGGGGTTCAAAAGTCTGAGAGCACAAGTGAAAATGCCTCTTCTAATTTCAATAAACAATATATAACATAGGAGCATATATACTGTATGTACACAATATTATCAATTAATATTGACCTATACGAGTAAATGCTTTAAAAGTTAGTTACATTTTTTTATAGTTTAAATAATTTTTAAAGTTAACAAATTAAACCTTAAAGCGTTATACAACTACATTTTTATACACTTTTTTTATTGCAAATGAAAAATTCGATTTTGAATCATAGATTTTATCTGTGAACTTTTGAATCGCACCGTATATAACACATTTTCCAAAGGAGGTTATTGTTCAGGATGGGTAGATTTCCTTAATCGGTGAATGATCATAAATACAGAGTGCAGATCACCACAAATAAGACAAGTTCACTCTTTCCTGTTTCAGTTCTGTTGCCAACCTGTTGGAGGCAGCAACGTTTGTGTTTCTACAATAACTTCTTCTCTCTGTCTCTGTCTTCTCTCAAACACTTATTTGCTTTTGCATGCTCATTCTCTTGTGTTTCTACACCTTTTTCCTGAACAGTGAGAAAGACATGGCTAAACAGGCACGAAACTTGAACACAGCTGCAGGAAAACTCCTTCAGAGGCAGCAATAAAATGATCGCAGACACTAGATAGTTTACCAAAAAAAAAACTAAATTAAAAAAAAAATCTTCTGTTTGATTTTGCATAACATAGATGACTAGGGTGTTTATTTTATTACTGAGTTTCAGATCCATTGCCGTTATTCTGGCTTTAAAGCGGACTGTTGAAAACTACAGATCTTGCCTCTGTCTCTCCCCCCAGCCTCATCTTTCAATATTGTACACCTGATCCAGTGCTCCTGTCTCTAGTCTCCTTCTGTATGTTTTAGCCGAAGTAAAAATGCAGCTGTTTTGGCATCTTAGAACAAAGATGGCAGACATGTACATTTTAAGTAATGGAAATGCATCTCTCTTATATCTTTACTTCTCAATACTGAAAAAATACTTCTCAAACCATAACCCAGTTCGGTACAGCACGGGGAAACATTCCTAACAAAATTGTACAATCGTTTTATACTCTATATAAAAGTATGCAACACCATATTATTCGGTTAAAAGACTTTGACCTGAATATTAGACCAACCTGCTTAAGTTTCATGATGTTGAGTGCTTTGATGGATGCCCAAGCTGACAAACAGGGTGTTTATTTCAGGCTTATTCAGGAGGTTATGTTAGCTTTTTTTGGAAGAAATGCTGTTGAGTGCTAGATGGTGTGCCTCAATTATTTTACAGCTTATTGTAAAATTAATTGAAATCTGAAATTTGATGCAGTGGTAGTTGATGCCAAATGTCAAAGTTTTGGAAAGATATTTGTGACACCAAGCTTTACGGATTCTGCAAAAAGTCTGGATGATAAAATCCTCTAAATTGTGAACGGACTGAAGTGTATGTAGACATAATTTAGATGTGAAATGTAGTACAAACATAGCTTAATAAAAAGCAAATCAGACACTTGTCAGACTACTTTGCCTTCTTGAGCTTTTACAGTTTCTGCTCTAGCCACATGCTTCCTCCTACGTTCCTCCCATAGTTCTTCTTTATGCTTTTATTAATTCAGTTCATCTTCATTTCCCATGGCTTTTAGTTTTCATTTCACCTCATTAAGTTAATGTGGCCCAACTTCAGATGTAAGAAGGCGGAACGAGAGCGAGACCTGGCTGACGAGGCCAATCGACTCTTCAAGCAGGAGTTTGGAGACAAGATTGAGAGTCTGCAGGAAGAGGTGGAGCAGTTACGGAGACAGAGGTCCTGAGATTTACTTATTGTGATGTTGCATATACTGGTCAACCAATATATTTTGTTTCATAGCTAGTAAGCAGATGTTAGATAATAATAAGAAATGGCACTTAAGCACCAAATCAGGATAGTAGAATGATTTCTGAAGGATCATGGGACATTGAAGACTTTAAGATGTTTGTCACTGATCTCATCACTTATTTAGCAGTGCTTTTTGAACCCCGGCTGAAGCACAAAATTTAGTTTTCATTGTGATGATTTCACCAGTTTCACCAGATTGCACAGCCACTGCTAATGTTGTGAAAATTACAAACATGTTAAGACCTTGTCTTTATTGATATGATAGATGGCTTTTGGAACAAGAGCTCAGGAAATGGCGAGAGAATCCTGGAGGCCACATACCTGAAGCTCTGTTAGGAAAAACCCCACCTCAGAGAGACATGGGACAGCATGTGGAGGACATCAGAAGGGTGAGACCTGCTTTCCACTTTAGTGCCATTCAGTTGCTTTTTCTGAGTGTGCTGTTCCCTGAAATTCAGGCTTTTTGTTTTTATATAGGAATTAGAGTCTGTTAAAAAAGAAAATGATACATTGCGTACTGCGCTTGAGGAAAAGTCAAGTCCGAGTTCCAGTTTGTAAGTCTTAAATGCTGGATCAGTTGCATACAACTCGATTTATCTACTGCAATGTTATTAAAATTAAACCGTCTTTTTCTCAGGACGCTGTCACATGAAGATGAACGGGTACTCTACATTTAATCAGTAATTCTTTTTTTTTTTTTATCAGAGAGGTTCCCTGCAATAATTTCTTATTTTTATATCTTACTTGATAGGACCAGTCTCTTTGTAAAGACACTGACCCTACCATCTGCCCAATGTGTGAAAACCAAGACTCTCTGACTACACCCAAGGTACCCCAAGCAAGGAAATTGTAACATTTAAGCAACGGTACAACAAAATCCTCAGTAAACTAATCATTGCTTTTTAATAACATGTTATAAAACTACACTACTGTTCAAAATTTTGGGTCAGTAACACGTATAATGTTACAAAAGATTTCTATTTGAAATAAATGCTGTTCTTTTGAACTTTAATAATAACAGAATACAAGCGCAACTGTTTTCAACACTGATAATAGTAAGGAACTGTTTCTTGAGCACCAAATCAACATGTCTTTTTAAACATTTCAGAGGCAATGTAAGAACTGCAGTGGTGTGTTCTGTGAGAACTGTATGGCCAATGAACTTCCTCTGCCCTCCTCCATCAACCCTGAACACGTGTGTGACGTTTGCTACTCGCAGTTACTGCAGCAGTACGCATCCTCCCCTTCCTGAGGGGGCACTCATTTCTGAGCACAGATTATTCTGGCAGTAGTTGAATGGGTAATCCATGACAAATGACACATCACATTCTAAATCATCAATCAGTACCAGGTATCTCAGTTAAGCAACATATCAGTTATTTTGTTTGCATACAACATTTGCCAAAAAGGGATTCTTTTTTACAAGCTCTTGTGGGAAATGCTTTAAAGATTTTCATGATTTCATATAATTCTTGAGGATGAGTGAAGCTGTCCACCAAGTGGATGTATGTGGTTCTAGTACTTGAATTGTGACAAACAGAGGCTATTGAAAATTGTGCATTGCATTATATGTTTTGCTATGGAGCTCTGATCGTAAAACTAAGTGTTCACATGCATCTTACTTAGACATATTCAGTGATACAGAATAACAACTGATATTACATGCACTTTATCTAATAATCCACTAAAGTGTACCATTATACTATTTTTTATACATATTTTTGCTCAATTTGGAAATCTAAATAAAACAGCTGTTTTTTCCCCCTCCTTGAGTGTAAGCTTCATATCCTACTATATCATGGGCCATACAAGTATGGTGGTGTATCAAATATACAAAAAAAACATTAAGTATATATGCAAAAACATTTTTTTTATATTTTATCTAAAGGTTCAATAAACTGTTCATTTCAAACAGTACGTTTTTTCTGATTATTATTTCATGTTTTACATTTTAATATATCTTGAACTGACCAAGTAGGTGAAGCATGTCTGCAAAGACTTAAGAGACTGTGAAAGATCAAAACGAGTACCAGAAAAGAAGTTCATCAAGTCCTCTGCAGTACATGACCAAGGAAAACCCTTGGCCTGGATGATGAACAGTTCCTTTGCTTGGGGCTCCTCGTGAAGGGTGTATTCTGGTAGTTGTGGGTACTCATCTTCCTTAGACGGTGCCTAAAACATTAAAAGAATAGCGTCAGGAGAAAACAATTAAGTTAAACGTTATGTGTCTGAACAGTTTTTTTCTGGAAATGCGCTTAACTGTCTACATAAATGCATCAGGTACCTCAGTAAATAGTCTTCGCTGATATAATGTCCATGGATGCTTGACTTCATGATCTGCAAAATATCTCGCTGACCACGAATGAACATCTCGACCTCGTGCTACTGTAAACTGCGCAGTTTTAATGTGTTTCAGAGCATCCACGCATGGAGACTGCTGCTGTCTCCTGATACAGCGAACGAGAGACAACAAGAGCGCGCTCCTACTGAATGCAGACATCTTCTACTGTACACAACTTCGCCTTAAAACTTAGCTTAAACCCTAAAGTAAACAGACAGTTTTAACACGGCATGTTTCGGCTCAGTTGCCCCAAAAATCACGTTGACCTGCGGCATCAGAGGACAACATGACGTCAACAACACGCGCCCTTGGCCTTGACAGTCCTTTCAAAATAGTAGTTCTTTTTTGGTTGTAGTTTTTTTTATTGCAGTTATAACAAAAGAGATTACAGTACGTACGAAATAAACATAAAACACAGTAAGTACAAAACATACAAAAAACTTTCAATAATAAACGAATTATGGTTTAATTGGTTAAGAGAAGAAGTAATGTAATATAACGATTCTTAAGAAACAGACAGAAAGGAGTAAAAAAGAGAGAGGGAGAGTGCACACACATAAAGATACAAGTATATTAAGGAAGAATATTAAACATGGCACAAGTTTTAGATGTTTTATAGCTTTCTTGTTAACAAATGTTGAAATTTCAGTTCAGTTCTTGTTGGAAGATGTTAAAATGGGGTTTACATTTAGTATATTTACATTTATGGACATAAAACTTTCCAATAAATTGGAAATTGCATTAAATCAATTCTTATCTTTAGCATAAAACCCAAAAAGAATGTGTCTATAACATAAAGAGAAATCATAAAAAACATTTTGGACAATCAAAGCATTAACATGAACAAAAGGACACTCCCAAAACAAATGAGCTACAGTTTCAAAAGAAATTTCACAGAAAGAACAAGATGTATCAAAGTCACTTTTACATTTCTGCAAAAACTGCTTGACAGGATAAAATCTGTGAATTATTTTATAAAAATACTTCCTTAATTTTTTCTTTGTAGCTGTAGTTCAAAACGGCAAAATACGGTGCTTGATTTGGATTTAGATATTTTTTATTCTTGTAATAAAGCAAATTATTACACCATTTTCTGAAAATTATTACATTTTTATTAGGTTAAAGAATATTTTTGTCAACACACTATTAAGGTAGTATTAGATATTATAAAGACATGTAATGTTGTTAGTAAAATTACATTTTTGCTTTTCATTGTCATTATAATAAATGTAAAACAAATGATCAGAATATTATCTGGCGAACATTAACTTCATAATAAGTTAACAGTTAGAAGTTATTGTCTTTTACCGATTATTAGATACTGATAAACCTAAAGATATGCATTTTAATTTAAAATAATTTATATAGCCATTTTTACAATCAATCAACAACAACAACAACAAATACTACTACTAATAATAATGAACAAATATCATTTTTAGATAGAGAGAGAGAGAGAGAGAGAGCGAGAAAGAGAGAGACAGAGAGAGAGAGAGACCGAGAGAGAGAGAGAGGGAGAGTTTGTTAAGAACATAATTATCCGTTGAATTCCCTCAAACGTTCTTTTATCCTAATGCTAACGTGACTCTTATTTGAGAAGAAAGGCTATCCATTGGATCTACCAGCTGTCGTGATCTCGCGAGATTTGTGGCTCTGGAGACACTTTGGATGGGAAGGAGAACTTTTGCACGGGAAGGATCTGTGTTGTTGGAGTGTTAAGGATATTAAGGCTCAAATACTTCGCTTTTCCACCTTTCAACAGTCAAGATAACGGACTAGTGTCGATTTCTCATCTACAGCGCATTTTCCTCAAGGAGAGATGAGCTTTTTATTGTAAGTATGAAGGGGTTCTATAAATGGGAACACTGATGGCTAGTTAGCAAGCGTAGAAATACTGCTTTTGTCCCGAAGCTGCCTATACATGACCAATTCTGACTCACAGCCGTCATTTATAAGCAGCTAACAGTAATGATATATAAAACCGCTGATAGAAGCACAGTCTGATCCTGTCGCAGCAGATTAGTACGTGACCATCATAACACAAAACTAGGCTGGCTAATGAAGAATACTTAGCCAGTTCATGAGGCCATCAGCAGCTGCAAGAAATTGGGTTTGGGTACTCATCATTATGACTGCCTTTGGATACATTTTACAGTAATCTGACTGTGAACACAGCTGTATTTCCCAACATTTGCCATTTATGTAACCGGGAGATTTTCGTGTTTTTCTCCAATGTTTCCCTTCATCATAACCCAAAGATGTTAGTTTGATACACAATTTTTATTACAAAATCTGTTGTCACCAATGACTGCTACCTAATAAGTGTTCTCTCGCCTTCGCGAAACGTACCAAAATGATTTGACATCAAACTAACCTGAAATCCAGATATGATCAGTATGTCTGGATAATTCCCCTATAATCCCAGTATACTGTGTACTGTACTATGCATATCCCAGTATAATAAGTCACAATACTGTACATTTTGCTTTAAAATGTTGATTTGTGTTTATCTGCAACCTGTGTTGGTGTCTACATGGGTATTTTTCAAAATCATGCATCAGTTTCTCTCTATATCTATATCTTTTTTATAGGGAGACCCTGCCTTGCAATGGATTTAGTTATGTTGTGACCGCCAAATCATAGAAACAAGTATAATATTTTGCTCTAATGTCTTCAGAGGCATAAATATAATCATGTCAGCAAGATGTAATGCTTTTCTCTCTTCTGCTTTCCATTGAAAATGGGAAGTAGGCTGTGCTGTAAATCAGGCCACGTGATTCGCAAGATAATTCAGTAAAGCCTCTTAAGTGGAATCATGGTTTTGACATTTGAGTTAAATTTGAATTAATTTGTGCAAAGAGTGTGTTTTTAACTATTGTTTTGTTGCTGGCATTATTATGTCCTCAAAACAGTTTGTGCATGCACATGTTTTTTGCTTTGTGAAGACTGGAATTCCCCATCTGTCTTCTGCTTGATGCTCTGATGCAGTCGCCTGACTCAAGGAAATATCATTATGGGAAAAGATAATGTCATTTGGGACCATCACAACCTGAAAATGGGTCTGTTCTGATCCTCTTTATTGTTGGCTTGAAGCATGTTGGTCATTCAAGTGAGTCCTTCAGAAGGTTTGCCTGTATTTGTTTATCACTTCCAGTGTCCCTTTCGTTGTTTGCTGTGCAAATTTGTGTCTGAACAGGTGGACATACTGAACAGAGCAGCTGTTGAATTGGTGAAGACAGGCTCACTTTGAGGTGTTGATAGACCAGTAAATGCACATAGGCTCAACTCAGAGGAAGAGTTTTATGGAGCCACTTAGGTGTTAAGCTTTGGGGGTTTTAACTGCATGTATATGAAGTGTTGAACACCTCCATGTAGAACTTTTCACTATCCTTTTGGCTTGTCCAAAGGTCTATGAGTTGTATAAAGGCAAAAACAGCTTTTAGTAGTATTTGTGCCACATTTTGGAATGACATATTGTAAGAAAAGCAAAAAGCATGTGAGTTTGTGTTGTTTTTATATATATATAAATACACTGCTGACACTGACCTCGTAAAATTTTCTAGTCAAATGTAATTCCACTTCTTCAAGTGTTTAATTGTAAAAGATAAATGTGCATTGTGGTGTTATTTTTATTTATTTTTTGCAAACTGTAGTATACATATGGTCTTAATCAAATAATTCAAACAAAAAGCCGTTGAAAGAACATGTTTAATATTGTTCGATAATGTGACATTATACATTTTTAGTAATTCATCAAATGCCCTGGATTGCAAATTTCGTCCCAACATTAAAAAGATAATTGTAGCTTCTGTAATTTGCTGTAAAGAAGGCACGTGCATCAGGTTTAGATTCACCTTTTATATTTTCACTCTTGTAAAGTGAGTTTCTAAATGTAAATGTTTAGTGATTTGCAATTTTGCTTGACTGAGTTTAGTATCTTTTGGTTCGGTGTAAGTTTGTAGTAATCATTAAAGCCTGAACATCCAGCATTACTCTTCTGCCGTTCTACAGTGGAAGCCGCTCGTCAAAGACGTTCAAGCCGAAGAAGAACATTCCCGAGGGCTCACACCAGTATGAGCTACTGAAGCATGCAGAGGCCACGCTGGGCAGCGGGAACCTGCGCATGGCTGTCATGCTGCCCGATGGAGAGGACCTCAATGAATGGGTGGCAGTCAACAGTAAGCATGTGACTTTAATCTAGGAAAAAAAAACCTGTGTTTGCGTCCTCAGTGCGTGCTGCTAAAAGCCTGAAAATTTGCTGTGGCTATAAAGGTTTTAATTTTTTTGTTCTTAATTGAATATAGGTCTGCTACTGCAGAATTAAATATTAAATAAGAATTGTCAATCAAAACAAATGCTGACATCACAACCCTTTAAAATAGGTGCACCCGAAATCAGGACTCCCCCAAAGGGGTCTTTCCACTTAACATCCATTTTATAAGGCCTGCTTGTAGGTCAGTTTTGCAACATTCGCTTGATTTAGTTATGTTGTGACCGCCAAATCATAGAAACAAGTATAATATTTTGCTCTAATGTCTTCAGAGGCATAAATATAATCATGTCAGCAAGATGTAATGCTTTTCTCTCTTCTGCTTTCCATTGAAAATGGGAAGTAGGCTGTGCTGTAAATCAGGCCACGTGATTCGCAAGATAATTCAGTAAAGCCTCTTAAGTGGAATCATGGTTTTGACATTTGAGTTAAATTTGAATTAATTTGTGCAAAGAGTGTGTTTTTAACTATTGTTTTGTTGCTGGCATTATTATGTCCTCAAAACAGTTTGTGCATGCACATGTTTTTTGCTTTGTGAAGACTGGAATTCCCCATCTGTCTTCTGCTTGATGCTCTGATGCAGTCGCCTGACTCAAGGAAATATCATTATGGGAAAAGATAATGTCATTTGGGACCATCACAACCTGAAAATGGGTCTGTTCTGATCCTCTTTATTGTTGGCTTGAAGCATGTTGGTCATTCAAGTGAGTCCTTCAGAAGGTTTGCCTGTATTTGTTTATCACTTCCAGTGTCCCTTTCGTTGTTTGCTGTGCAAATTTGTGTCTGAACAGGTGGACATACTGAACAGAGCAGCTGTTGAATTGGTGAAGACAGGCTCACTTTGAGGTGTTGATAGACCAGTAAATGCACATAGGCTCAACTCAGAGGAAGAGTTTTATGGAGCCACTTAGGTGTTAAGCTTTGGGGGTTTTAACTGTATGTATATGAAGTGTTGAACACCTCCATGTAGAACTTTTCACTATCCTTTTGGCTTGTCCAAAGGTCTATGAGTTTTATAAAGGCAAAAACAGCTTTTAGTAGTATTTGTGCCACATTTTGGAATGACATATTGTAAGAAAAGCAAAAAGCATGTGAGTTTGTGTTGTTTTTATATATATATAAATACACTGCTGACACTGACCTCGTAAAATTTTCTAGTCAAATGTAATTCCACTTCTTCAAGTGTTTAATTTTAAAAGATAAATGTGCATTGTGGTGTTATTTTTATTTATTTTTTGCAAACTGTAGTATACATATGGTCTTAATCAAATAATTCAAACAAAAAGCTGTTGAAAGAACATGTTTAATATTGTTCGATAATGTGACATTATACATTTTTAGTAATTCATCAAATGCCCTGGATTGCAAATTTCGTCCCAACATTAAAAAGATAATTGTAGCTTCTGTAATTTGCTGTAAAGAAGGCACGTGCATCAGGTTTAGATTCACCTTTTATATTTTCACTCTTGTAAAGTGAGTTTCTAAATGTAAATGTTTAGTGATTTGCAATTTTGCTTGACTGAGTTTAGTATCTTTTGGTTCGGTGTAAGTTTGTAGTAATCATTAAAGCCTGAACATCCAGCATTACTCTTCTGCCGTTCTACAGTGGAAGCCGCTCGTCAAAGACGTTCAAGCCGAAGAAGAACATTCCCGAGGGCTCACACCAGTATGAGCTACTGAAGCATGCAGAGGCCACGCTGGGCAGCGGGAACCTGCGCATGGCTGTCATGCTGCCCGATGGAGAGGACCTCAATGAATGGGTGGCAGTCAACAGTAAGCATGTGACTTTAATCTAGGAAAAAAAAACCTGTGTTTGCGTCCTCAGTGCGTGCTGCTAAAAGCCTGAAAATTTGCTGTGGCTATAAAGGTTTTAATTTTTTTGTTCTTAATTGAATATAGGTCTGCTACTGCAGAATTAAATATTAAATAAGAATTGTCAATCAAAACAAATGCTGACATCACAACCCTTTAAAATAGGTGCACCCGAAATCAGGACTCCCCCAAAGGGGTCTTTCCACTTAACATCCATTTTATAAGGCCTGCTTGTAGGTCAGTTTTGCAACATTCGCTTGGATTCATTCATAGCCTCTGGCCTCCTTCTATTTTTAACAATAGAGACAGTATAGAGCTTTCTTAGATTATTAGCCGCAGGGACAGAGGGTTGAATACAGACTCTGGCAGCACTGATGTTGCTAGGGTTTAGGGTTTCATCTAGTTGCTGCAGCTCATGAAATATTGGGTGTACCCAACATCTGCTATATAATTATTAGAGCAGGGTTTCACAATCCCCTTGAGGTTTGTTATGGAACTGCAGGGGTAGATATTTTTGTTGCTATTGTTTGGTCTTGACAATATGATTATTTTAGACCGCAGGTTTTAACATGACTAAAGATGCTGGAATAGGTTTGTATTATAATGCTGTTTGATGTGCTCGTAGCTGTGGACTTCTTTAACCAGATCAACATGCTGTATGGGACCATCACAGACTTCTGCACTGAGGAAAGCTGCCCACTAATGTCTGCTGGACCCAAGTAAGTATTTACAGGGAATTATCATGTGAAATATTTTGAGCATACTACCATTGAAATTTTTTTGAATTGTCTTTTAATACAGTACTTTAGTATTGTGAAATATTATTACAATTTAAAATAACTGTTTTCTAATTTAATATATTTTAAAATAGAATTTTTTCCTGTGATGGCAAAGCTGAATTTTCAACAGTCTTCAGTGTCGCATGACCCTTTCAGAAATAATTCTAATATACTGATTTAGTGCCTAAGAAAGATTTTGGTAACACTTTACAATAAGGGTACATGACTAATCATGTACTAATGCCTAAATTAATACTTAATTCATCAAATACTAATGATTATTAAAGGTGTTAACTAATCATGAACTAGTGAAGAGCTATCCTTAACTACGACTGGATTCACGCATGAATAACGGCAGCCTCAACTACATGTTAGTACAAGTTTGATAGTTAATGCGTTAATTAACATTTATGGGTACACTAAATCAAACAGCCTCTTTAAGAAGGAATACAAAATACTCTGACATTGAAATGAATTGAAATAATTCAATACCACAATTTGAGCTTTTGACATCTTCAGCATTGTCATAATCATTACTGGGTGGTGAAGGATTAGTTGATCCTCCTCATCAAGCATAGAAAAGATTAATATGCTAATAACTGATCTCCTCTGTTTTGTGTTGTTCTCTTTCCCTTTAAATGATGATCCTGTACCTCCGCTCTCTGACTTCTTGAAAAACCACACCACATCTCTTAATACTCACAGATTTAGTACATGTGTATTTGATAGAAAGTATGAAATAAATCATGAGCTGAGTTTAGTAAGTAGTTAACAGTTAGTTAATTATGATTGGGCCCCCTCAAGTAAAGTCATGTCAAAATAATGCATTAACAAGCCATGAGTTAGTGTATGGATAGTTAATAATGAATGAATAATTATGGGCCCTCTCAAGTAATGTTAATTACATTACTAATTGTTAATGCATTATTTTGACACGACTTTACTTGAGGGGGCCCAATCATAATCAATTAACTGTTAACTACTTACTAAACTCAGCTCATGATTTATTTCATACTTTCTATCAAATACACATGTACTAACACTGAGTATTAAGAGATGTGGTGTGGCTTGTCAAGAAGTCAGAGAGCGGAGGTACAGGATCATCATTTAAAGGGAAAGAGAATAACACAAAACAGAGGAGATCAGTTATTAGCATATTAATCTTTTCTATGCTTGATGAGGAGGATCAACTAATCCTTCACCACCCAGTAATGATTATGACAATGCTGAAGATGTCAAAAGCTCAAATTATGATAATTAAATTATTTCAATTCATTTCAAGTATTTCTTATTCCTTCTTAAAGAGGCTGTTTGATTTAGTTTACCCATAAGTTGCATTAACTATCAAACATGTAGTTAAGGCTGCCGTTATTCATATGTGAATCCATATGACTCCAGTCATAGTTAAGGATAGCTCTTCATTAGTTCATGATTAGTTAACACCTATAATAATCATTAGTATATGGTTGCTTATTGTAACTTATTGTAAAGTGTTACCATAATATCTAATACATCAGGCTTTTATGGCCCATATACAGTACTATAGTTTAGTTCAATAGTTCAAAGTTAATTTCATTCTCAAATGAGGAGCTGATACTCAAGAAGGGGGAAAACAATTCAATGTTATTCAGAGGACCGGGCTTAGAAAAAAAAAAAGAGCACTTTTGTGCAAATGTTATTATTCATATGGCCAAAACATATAAAATTCTAAGCATGTAAATAAATAAATAATAAATAATAAGAAAATAAATAAATACAAATTTGATATGACATTATAGCAGACTATGATATAACATTATAGCAGACTACATATGTGACATACATATAAATAAATGTAAGTTGTCATTAGTGACACATTTTTTATTTATTTATTATGGTAAAACATATAATGCAATACAATGATTTAGAGATGGACAAATAAACCTTCATCAAAAGCCTGTATATGTATATAGCCACACCGATGTGCACGTGGCTTTAAGGTGGACATTTGTAGAATGATAAAAGGCATTTTATTTGCTAAGTACTTAACTTAATACTGATTTAGTGCCTAAGAAAGATTTTGGTAACACTTTACAATAAGGGTACATGACTAATCATGTACTAATGCCTAAATTAATACTTAATTCATCAAATACTAATGATTATTAAAGGTGTTAACTAATCATGAACTAGTGAAGAGCTATCCTTAACTACGACTGGATTCACGCATGAATAACGGCAGCCTCAACTACATGTTAGTACAAGTTTGATAGTTAATGCGTTAATTAACATTTATGGGTACACTAAATCAAACAGCCTCTTTAAGAAGGAATACAAAATACTCTTGACTTTGAAATGAATTGAAATGATTAAATATCATAATTTGAGATTTTGCCATCTTCAGCATTGTCATAATCATTACTGGGTGAAGGATTAGTTGATCCTCCTCATCAAGCATAGAAAAGATTAATATGCTAATAACTGATCTCCTCTGTTTTGTGTTATTCTCTTTCCCTTTAAATGATGATCCTGTACCTCCGCTCTCTGACTTCTTGAAAAACCACACCACATCTCTTAATACTCACAGATTTAGTACATGTGTATTTGATAGAAAGTATGAAATAAATCATGAGCTGAGTTTAGTAAGTAGTTAACAGTTAGTTAATTATGATTGGGCCCCCTCAAGTAAAGTCATGTCAAAATAATGCATTAACAAGCCATGAGTTAGTGTATGGATAGTTAATAATGAATGAATAATTATGGGCCCTCTCAAGTAATGTTAATTACATTACTAATTGTTAATGCATTATTTTGACACGACTTTACTTGAGGGGGCCCAATCATAATCAATTAACTGTTAACTACTTACTAAACTCAGCTCATGATTTATTTCATACTTTCTATCAAATACACATGTACTAACACTGAGTATTAAGAGATGTGGTGTGGCTTGTCAAGAAGTCAGAGAGCGGAGGTACAGGATCATCACAGCCTGCGTCTGGATGGAAAGTGAACTGTACTGACACCCAGCAAACCATAACTTGCATGTTTCTAGATTGGCCATTTCTTTGGGAATTGTTCTACAAATATTCTTTGTGGGTTTTGAGTTTTTATTTATTTATTTAGCTGCATATAAGTCACAGTAGGGTGAATTTAAAGGGAAAGAGAACAACACAAAACAGAGCATATTTAGTATTTTCTATGCTTGATGAGGAGGATCAACTAATCCTTCACCACCCAGTAATGATTATGACAATGCTGAAGATGGCAAAATCTCAAATTATGATATTTAATCATTTCAATTCATTTCAAAGTCAAGAGTATTTTGTATTCCTTCTTAAAGAGGCTGTTTGATTTAGTGTACCCATAAATGTTAATTAACGCATTATCTATCAAACTTGTACTAACATGTAGTTGAGGCTGCCGTTATTCATGCATGAATCCAGTCGTAGTTGAGGATAGCTCTTCACTAGTTCATGATTAGTTAACACCTTTAATAATCATTAGTATTTGATGAATTAAGTATTAATGTAGGCATTCCTGTACCCTTATTGTAAAGTGTTACCAAGATTTCTTATTATTATCAATGTTGAAAACAGTTGTGCTGCTTAATATTTTTGTGGAAACAGCGATGGAAAAAACTGTCACTTGATCAATTTAATGCCTTCTTGTTGTAAAAAAGTATATATTTCTTTACAAAACACATCTTACTGACTGGTAATGTGTACTTTAGAAAGTGCTTGCATGTGTAATGTAAATTTAAAAAATGTATTTCTTTTCACTTGTTTCTTCTATGTTGTCTTCAGGTATGAATATCACTGGGCCGATGGAACCAACATAAAAAAGCCAATTAAATGTTCAGCTCCGAAGTATATTGATTACCTGATGACTTGGGTCCAAGATCAGCTTGATGATGAGACACTTTTCCCTTCAAAAATAGGCGTGCTTCTCCTTTAATTTCTTGTGCATGATCTAGAAATTTGGCATGCTTTTTCTTTGTATAGCTCATTATGATCATGGAGGGATTTGTCCACATGGTGGTGCTTTTAAAGCATGCTTGAAAAAAATTCAGTCTTCTCAAGGATACTAGTTACCATTTCCACAGCATATATTCTACTGGTCATTTTTCCATCATTCCCTATTGCTTGGATCCTAAAACAGATTTTTAAGATGCTTTTCTGTGACTTTTATAGGGGTCCCTTTCCCAAAGAACTTTATGTCGGTGGCCAAGACCATTTTGAAGAGACTCTTCCGTGTTTATGCTCACATCTACCATCAGCACTTTGACTCAGTTATCCAGCTGCAGGAGGAGGCGCACCTCAACACCTCCTTCAAGCACTTTATCTTCTTCGTTCAGGTGTGTACTAGGGGTTGAACGACTTCTGATTTTTTTGAAGTCGACTTTTATGTGATGAAAGTCGAGTCGAAGTCGACTAGTCGCTGATGACGTCATTAATGAACAAATAAGTCTGGAGCTGTGACAAACACTTTGTGCACAGCTATGGCATATGACAGCGCTGCCCACATTGCTTTTGCTCCTATAAGAGCTTTTTTATCAGTTCTTTTGTCTTTGGGTCGTTATATTTCTCACAGATTTCTGCTCATTCTAAATCAGATACAGATAATGTAGCACAGTAAAGATTACATTAATATGAATGCATTAGTGAGAGCGATTGCGTGTCTGAATTAATTCTACCTGGCACCATCTCTACTAGTAGTGAAGCTGTGGAATTTAGTTAAGAAATGTATGCTTGAACTTTTCAGTTTCTAAGCTATTTTATTGAGAAATCACAGAACAGTGTTGACAATACATTTCCGCGCTGAATTATTATCTGCGCGTGATGTACACGCTACTGTCTGTAGCCTATGTGTGTGTGTTACAGTGCAGCAGCATTAGATTAGAACGGCAATTAATGTACCTGTACAATAAGCTGTTTAAAACGTGCATTCTCCCATTCGATTTCGAGCATCCAGTAATATAATAATACATGTCTTGTGGAGTGCTTTCAGAGTATGCATTTATTTGTCATTTTAACTGTTTGGAACGGAGCGTAAATGTAGAAGTCCTTCAAAGATTTCTTATCCTGTTGCGCCCTCTATAGGACCAGCGACTAGTCGACGTCAAGCTTAAAGTGTCATGGCAGAGCATTGAAGTCGACTAGTCGATTAGTCGGTGCAACCTCTCGTGTGTACTTGTGGCCTTGAGATGTGTTAGTTGGCTGATTTTGCTTATCACAAGTAGATGAATGTTTGGCTACTTCCAATATAAACATTTCTCTGTCTTTTTTTCCCCCAGGAGTTTAATTTGATTGATCGGAAGGAACTTGCGCCCCTTCAGGAGCTGATCGAGAAGCTCACATCCAAGGACAGATAAATCTGCTCTTCCCATCAACATCTTCTCCATTTTCTCTGTACAGGCGGCCTGGCGTTGGTCTCTGTGTTCGACAGGTGTGTGGGAATGTTTCCTTCAAGAGTTGGGAAAAGGCTGACTCCAAAAAAAATAAAATGTTTTAAGCCAGAACTCAACCATAGGTCAAAGTCATAGTGGAATTGTACTCCTTTTGACATCGTCTCAAACACGATCTAAGTGCCTGATATTTCCATTTTCAAAATTGCTCATCTGTAAAAAAAGCGCTACCACTGCTATAAAACTTCTTTATGATTACACTTTTTTTTAGGAGTACATTGATGATAATTAGTGGTGTGTTAGCTTTTTTCCTCGTAATGGATTTATTTAGAAATGCATAGATTTAAAAATACTGAATGAAGCATTCATTGATTTTTTTTTTCACAGAGATGAAGATGTCTTGGCTTCTCTTAAGTACTCATTTTAACTGCTCCCTGTATCTCATGACATGTTTGGGATTTCCGTTATCCATTTCAATAGTAGAACTGCTTTGTTCACTTCAGATTTTATCCAGCCCTCAATGAATGTCTCCTTATTGTTACACATTTCAGTCTTTCCTGAAGAACATTGGGCCCACAGTTGGCCTGCCATTGCTTTTAAACCACTACAATACTGTTGAATAAGTACTTATGTGGATGAGCCAGATTCTCTCCCAGACGTCACGGGTTTGTCTGTTAGAAGCTGGGATGAAATGAGCTGACTATGCAAGATCGGTATGTCCTGTTTGATCTAATTTTTTCATACACTATAAAACACAAGGCTTTTACATTCTTCTATTCATGGATGTGGAAACGCTGGGCACCTTTTAAGAATATAACTACAACAAATCTAATGGGAAAGATACACTTTTCTCTAGATCTTAATTAAGCTGCCCCAAGCTGTATTCGTATTTCAAAGATCCAGAACTTTCACTTGAAACACAAGCTATATAATGAGGAGGTGAATGCAAGTTGTATAAAATCTGTGATAGATTTGATTCAAACTTGATGCTAGTTTAATAACTTTAATAACTGATTCTTATCCAACACACACTTCTATTGCTGTCAAAATAGTTGGTGGTCCTCTGTATAATTTAAGCAGTGCATACGTTTGGTCTTTATGAAGTTTCGCCCCATGAATGTTTATTTTTCTGAATGTTACAGAAAATGTGTTATCCTGAATAACATGGTTAAAATGTTTCTCAGAGATTTTCACATCACTTTTATTTCAGAACAGAATAAGATTGATTATAGACAAATGTACTAAACATTTTTGATGGCAAGTTGTAAATACTGTAACACGAGATGTGTAACTTGCTGAACTTTTGTGGTACAATGCTGAATACTGTTTATAGGATAATAAACCTGTTTGAACAAAATTTGGTGTTGTGTTCTTTGTTTTAATAGTGCAAGCAACAGCATGTGTTTGCTTTTTTTTCTTGGAATGGATCATACCAGCTATTACTAAAAACGCCTATATATATATATATATATATAATATGTGTATATACAGTATGTCTTATAAACAATATTCTTGTCCCAAATTAATATACAATTTTTGGACCAACTCCACAAATAAGCAGGGGCTGGGTGAGATCCAGTTTGTCCAAGAAAAATACTTCCCATAAAGTGTACTTACTTAGTACTTAATTAATACGTAATTATTTTAATACCAGTCTGGCCTTTCCCATAACCCCTCCTTTAATCAATAAAAACAAATTAAAAAGGTTGGAGCACATGGTCATTTGGGTGTGACAAAATCTGTAGTCTTGAAATCCATTTAATCTTGTCAGTCAACTTAGTCATACACTCTTAAAAATAAAGGTGCTTCATGATGCCATAGAAGAACCTTTTTTTCTAAATTCTAAAGTGAAAGTGACATGTGGCCAAGTATGGTGACCCATACTCGGAATTAGTGCTCTGCATTTACCCATCCAAAGTGCACACACACAGCAGTGAACACACACAAACTGTGAACACACACCCGGAGCAGTGGGCAGCCATTTATGCTGCGGCGCCCGGGGAGCAGTTGGGGGTTCGGTGCCTTGCTCAAGGGCACCTCAGTCGTGGTATTGAAGGTGGGAGAGAGCGCTGTACATTCACTCCCCCCACCTACAATTCCTGCCGGTACGAGACTCGAACCCACAAACTTTGGGTTATGAGTCCGACTCTCTAACCATTAATGGTTCCACGACTTCCCCATAAATGGTTCCATAAAGAACCTTTGACATCTGAAGAACCTTTCTGTTTCACAAAAGGTTCTTTGTGGCGAAAGAAGGTTCTTCAGATTACAAAAGGTAAGAAAGAGATGGTTCTTTAAAGAACCTTTGACTGAATGGTTCTTTGTGGAACCAAAAATGGTTCTTCTATGGCATCGCTTGAAGAACCTTTTGAAGCACCTTTATTTTTAAGAGTGTATGTGGCCATGATTTGATTCATCCCTCAGGCCTGTGGTGTTGTTAATAATTTTCCTGTCCTGGCTAATGTTTGTTGAAAATCGATGCAAAACACAACAATCAGTCACAATCTGTGAACCAACATATCAACCCATTACAATAAGAAAGTTACAGTTTCTATTGAGTTCTTTTATCATTTGAGCACTTTTTTGAAAGACTGTGAGCTCCATTTCAGCTCTTTATGTCTAAGACCTGGGCTCTCACAAGTCTTCAGACCGTTGGCACTTTGATAGCACAGATTCAGGGAAGACAAGGTTGTTTTAAACTGTAACCATCAGCTTTAAAGATGTTCTCCATCTTTAAAGGAGGTTTCGGGGGATCAGAAAATGAAAGTTTATGATCTCCTGGTCAAGTTTGTCCTCCACTACTGTTCTCTAGCCTCTCTCTCTATGGACACTTTATCTTAACCAACCTTGTGTTTTGTAATAATTCTTAACCAAAAATATGAAAGTAGGCCCCTGTACTCAAGATTTCTGGAAGTAAGTCTACAGCTGCAGACTTAAGCTCACAGTAGAGGGAGACAAAACATTTGTGACTGAAAACTGATTTACTGAAGCTCATCTCGTGACTGGCTTCATGCTGATGCTGAATTAATGCAACAAGGTTCAATAAAAAGACAAGTAGCGACGAGAACAAAAAGACCATCTAAAATCATTCCCCGAGTTGCTTTTGTTCGTAAAGGTCAGAGATTTCAATGGACCTGATTGTTAAAGGCCAGAGATTTCATAATTAGAAAAATCAGATTCTTTCACGTTCTTGAAGTTTCTTCAAGAATGGGTAAGTCTCAGTACCAGCTAAAATGAGCTCAATAATGTCATCAAGAATTAATGTGATCATATGTTGCCCTGACATGTGAGTTGTATTAGGTGGAACCTATTATAGCCCACAGCTTGTCTTCTTTGCATTTCAAGAAGTCAAGAAAATCAAGACCGAATTATTATTTATCTTAATTTACCAGTCGTTTTCTATATCCCTAGTCACAGGTAAAATCCATACAGAACAGTTTTGTCCTTCTGCTTTCGTAGGAACAATTGTGTAATATTGTGCAAATGTCCCCAGTGCTATTCTGTGCTTTCTCAAATGTCTTAAGTCTGCAGTTTTTCTGGAAGTGTGAGTAAGTGTTTTCCTCCCTATTGCATAAGCTCTGTGTTGATTACAATCTGCATACTTGACCCCTGGGCTTCTGATTTTTTCTGTACCTCTGAGCGACTTCATCTTGACAACATTCAGTCTGTTTCTTTTGTTTATTCCCTGAAGGTTTGGTTCCATGCCATCTTGCTGTCTGCGCTGAGCCACCTCACAGTTTCTTGCATTGGGATTTAATCTTGAGCATTTCTGAGTGTTTATTTAAATGGATATTGCAGCGCTCTATAATTTTTTTTTTTTTTTTTTTGCAATCCATTACTTATTCTGCAAGACTTCCAACGTTCACAGCAGTTTACTATAATGACAACTAAAAATAGTTTGGTTGTTCTACATCACTTCAGTGAATGTTACATGACTACCAAGAACAAGATTAGAATCTGGTCACTGATTACAGATTACTGATCACCACACTTCTGATATCTGATTACTCGCATACCATTCAAAACGTTTTTGGTTGTTAAGGTTTTTTTTGTGTGTTTTTTTTTTTACATAAAAAATAGTAATATTAATATAAACAGTTTCTATTTTAATATATTTTAAAATGTAATTTATTCCTGTGATGGCAAAGCTGAATTTTCAGCAGCAATTAATCCAATCTTCAGTGTCAATGATCCTTCAGAAATCATTCTAATACACTGATTTGCTGCTCAAACATTTATTATTGTTAATGTTGGAAACTGTTTTTGTGGACACAAAAAAAAACTCTCTTTAATGATTGTAAAGTTCAAAAGAACCTCATTTATTTGGAATATTTTTAAACATTATAGATCTGTTTTGTTACTTTTGATCAGTTTAATCCACCCTTTCTCAATAATAGTTATATAATAATTATTAACCCCAAACTTTTGAGCGGTACTGTATTATTCTAAGTCTTTAGTCAAAGTATATAAAGTTGTTTTGTTTTAGTTTTGAATCCACAATTTGAAATGGATATAATTATTTTAGATGAACCTCTGGATGACAATAAATGCACAAAACAACACATAGATCCTCCTTTTTACCAGCAGCACAATGAATAGACTGTCATAAGGTCATAAGTAGTAGTCATTTGTAGTTTATTGGTCCCTATTGAGCCTCACTCTGAGTGTAGTACTGGTTGGTTGGCATCGTTTTGTTCTCATTGAGAAATGATACAACTCTTGACACATCTTTGAATGTGACAGATCTTCCACCCACTGCCGGGTTTGCAGACTTTCACACAGATGGATATCTTTCTAATCTAGCTCGACTAGAATGAACCGGCGCCAAACAATCGTGTTCTTCTAATCAGTAAATCTCCACTGAGCAATGATGGTCTGTTCTCTTTGTGATAGCGAAAGCATGCAAAAATGTTTATTATGGGATGCAAGAATGCAGAAATGAAGTATTTTGGTTCCTTGAGTCGCAGATGCAGATACATACACTCAGACATAATATATTTGGCCCTCCTCTTTTAAAATCTCATCTATAATTCATGTTCCAAATATTATTAATCCATATTTAAAAGAAACTTTCATCAACTAGAAAGAATGCTACAATTTGCCAAATACATTATATTGAATACATCAAATGAATGAAGGACAGGCTAGATCACATCACAAATACTGAGGTGATATTCATTAGTGTGGAAACAGACAAACAATGCATTTGAACGAGACATATTTAAATGACTAGACGATGACGAACCTTATTAAGTGTATATAGCATAAAGCTTTTAAATGCGTCTGTAAACTGCAGTGGGCACATAAATCAGTTTAACAATAGTTGATTGGAGTTATTGCTCATGTGTGGCAATCATTCTGAATGTATGTAGTCATTGTCTGCTGAGATTTGGGAGTTGACTTTATGAATAAGAACATGTACATAAATACATTTAGTTTCTGAGAACTAGAAGGGTCAAAGCCTTTGTCTTAACATGCATGGATATACTGTATGTGTACACAGTCATAGTGAGTGACATTAAATGTAAAACCAGAGTGTCGTCACTCTGAAACTTATTACACATATTGTATGTATGATGACTTGAACATTCTGTCTCACTCAGTGTCATGATCAGATTAAACCTCAGTAATAATAAGGACTTTTAACTCTTTCCCCACCAGCCACTCCCAGCATCTTTGATAATTTCCCCCAAATTTTCATGGTCCCCAGAATATTTTGTTGTATTAATATTTTGAAAATGTAATGACTATTCTGAACATGTCAAAAGAAAGAGCAGAGCCTCTGCTTTTTTAAAATCTAGCTTTATGTATTCAGGCACCTATTGTGTGTCTCATAGAATTTATGGTAAAAAGTTGTGAAATCTGGCACGCAGATAGAGGACAGTCTCAACATTAACCACACCAAATTCTGAGTCTCTAAAAAATTTTTCCTCAGATTTTCTAGTTTATTTTGCTCAAGACTATGACATCATGTTCCATCATAAAAATTTTCCGCTGTTTTGAATTTTTCATAAAACCTACTATTTCAAAATCCTCTTAGACCATTTGTCCAATTTTCGTAAAAAAAAAAAAAACATATCTTCAGACAATGTCGACTAAAAAGAGTATTTACACTAATTTCTATTAGGCTGTGCAATATGCAATAATAATGCGCAAACAAATAACACACAAGCAAATTTGTTGAAGAGCTCACCAAAGTGGGCATGAGGCTATCTCCGCAACGCTTTAGTGCATTCAGACCAGTGTTGCCAAACCCCTCCCTCAGAAAATCGCTAGAACCACCCTCAAAAGTCTCAATTTTTCACAAAAAGTCGCCAAATATGAAAACAAAGTA